CCAAGGTGCGGGGGCTGAAGCTTGCTGGTGGCCCAGGCTGGCGCTCGAACCCAGGGCCTGTTACTGCCCTCCACGCTCCCCTCGCCACCCCCTTGTCCCCCACCTTCCCCATACCTTCTTGCCCAGAGGGCTGCTTCACTCCTTTGTCGCTACCCAGCTGGGGGACCCGTGAGGCTGCAGAAGCCCGCTGCCGGCAGGACCCACCTGTGCAGTGAGCACCAGGCCACCGCGCCCACTGTCCCCGAGGGCAGTCAACCCACAGCTGAAATTTCAAACTCAATTAGCACAGAGACAGGCTGAAGACGCTCTCGAGTAACTAATTGTCTGAGATCTGCCAAGACGAGTCTCTACCAGGGATGTGCCTGTGAACGTGAAGGTTTAGCTCTTCGAGTACTAATAATAGGGAGCAGCCAGCCAGCAATTTGAAGTGCAACTCAGGAGGGATGCTGGGAGGTTCCTTCCATTAATTTGAGGAGCGGGGGTGGGGATGAGAGTGGGGGTAGGACGGCAGAAATGGGGAAATAAACCTGCCTGTCCCAGAAAGTGAAGCCTAATTATTCCCCGGGCAGATGAGCCGGAGGACAGGCTTGTCCACAGACGCCAAGGGCGCATCTCCGAGGCGCACCCTGTGCGGCCTTGAATGAGCTTTCTCTGCGACAGAACAGCCTGGCTGGCTGCACCCCAAGTGAGGGGGTGGAGCAGGCTGGCCCACCCTCTCCTGTCAAAGGCAGGACACTGAAAGCCCCTGCTCATTTCCGGCACACCAGCGGAGATGCAGACGCTGGGGGGCACAGACAAGCCAGGCGAGTGGTCATATTCTGTCCTCTATCCACAGACCCCACAGCCCAGCGACGCCTCCCGTCCAGTGGGCGGGTGTTCCGGACCTTACTGGGATTCCTGGTGGCTGAAGCCGCTGTCCCCTCTCCTCCCAGCTCGGGTGACCTTAAAAGGCTCTCAATTTAGCAGCAGGCCCACACTCTGACACTCAAAACGTGATGGAGAGTTGGCACCTTAACACTGAAAGATCATTTTAAGCCCGCAGCTTTCCGTCAGTGGCGTGAAGTGTAAAAACATCACTCGATACCAAAAGGCCAATTCCCGATTTAGTTCGGGGGGTGGGAAAAATCTGGCCCACCTTTCCTGGCCCTCCTCATCCCATCCTGCCGGCTCCTAACGGGTGCCCTGCTGATCAACAGGAACCCGGTTGGTGGAAAGCACGGAAAAGACACATCGCTGCTCAACCTGGCAGACGCAACTGTAAGACAGATTTCCAAGTTTGGGCCAAGGGAGCTTCTTGGGCAATTCTCGACACAACATGCCCCTCAGAGCAAGGACTGCTCAGCCCCTCTGCTCCTGAAGCGACGAGGGCGGTGGGACACCCAGGCCCCTCCAAGCCTCGTGCACACGATCGGGAAAACAGCACAAACCTACCCAGGAGGAAATTAACAACATATGGGAAGTGCCTGGTACAGAGAAGATGCTGGGCTGTCTAGGCGGTCATCAAGTCACCTAAAACACCTCGTGGTTCTGGCCTAGAGCTCGCCACACAGTCTAAGTGACGGGGTCGGGTTGGGGGGTGGCTGACACAGCGCTGATGGCCATGCCCGCTTCTGCGAGGGGCTCCACTGGGTGGTTCTGGCCCCGGGGACGGTGCCCCTAGCAGCGCCAGGGCCCAGCTTCCTCACAGTCCACGTCTTGGAACCGACCCCAGCCCACCCAGTCTGTTTTTGCCCACTCCAGGTCAGTACGGTCTTTATGTTGGAAAGGTGGACACACAGCCAGGCTCTCTCACGGGCGTCTCTGAAGCACCAAGCGTTCAGGGACCTGGTGAACAAACTCCTCCCCTTTCCGGGCCCAGCCCTCTCCCTTTCAGCTTCCCCTTCTTGGCACTGAAGAAGGTCAGAGAGGAGAACACCCTAAAGGTTGCCTAGCCCGACCCTTATACCTTTTTCCCCATTTAATTAGGGAAAATTAAAAAACAGAAAAATAGAATCACATGCATCACTCACCTATCCGACACCCAGCTTCAGTGAGTATCTACTCATGGAACATCACGTTTTGTCTACAAGCCCCCCAGCCCCCTCCAGCTCTGCTGCCTTGCTGGCCCTGGGCCACTGACCTGTGTGTTATGGGAGAGGATGAGTGACTTGTCCAAGTCCTACAGCTGGGAGCAGGAGGCCAGAGCCGCGGTTCTGACCCGGCCACCCCCTCACACCTTCTGCTGTGGCTACGCTCCAGCGGTGCTGTTACTAAACTTTTTATTGAAGTATATAGTTGCTTTACAGTCTTGTGTTAGCTTCTGGTGTTGTGTGTTGTATTTAACATTTTTCTTTAATGGTCTTGCTTCTCCCCCTAAGTACATTATTTTACCACGGAAGCTCCTGTAGTGAGACCAAGAACAATGCCACTCAAACCTGAGCAGAAACCACCGCCTGCCCAGGGCCCTGAACGCAAGGTCTGCTCTCTCCGCTGGAAACAGAGCTCGGCGGGAGGTGGAGGGATCTTTGGGACCAACTAGGAGGCTCTCAGATTTGTTGCCAACACTGAAAAATCCAAATAGCTCTCTCACAACGTGGTGTTGCTGCTGCTGTTTAGTCTTTAAGCTGTGTCCGACTCTTGGCGACCCCATGGACTTTAGCCTCACCAGGCTCCTCTGTCCGTGGGATTTCCCAGGCAAGAATACTGGGAGTTGGTGGCCATTTCTTTCTCCAGGGGCTCTTCCTGACCCAGTGATCAGACCCTCATCTCCTGCACTGGCAGGTGAGTTCTTTACCGCTGGGCCACCAGGGAAGCCCCACAACATGGTGTACTGTTACCATAATCCCATCGATCGTCAGAGGGCTGGTTCACACGTGGACTATCAGCCAGCTGGCCGTCAAGATGCACTAGTCATCAGCGTGTGCTCCAACCTGCCACAGCTGGTCATCTTGTCACTTCACACGGGCTCTGCATACCTGTACATCCTGCATGGGGTCTTTTATTTGCCATTTAAATGTCTTTAAAAAGACTTGCAGCTGTGCAACAAAATGTTATTATACACTCAGTGACCTCAATTCTGGATTTTCTTGCAACAAACAAGTGTCTTATAAGACCAAAGGAAGGAAAATACCAGCAAGGCATTGGAGCTGTGTTACTAGGAGCTCTGGGAAGGGATCGCCTGTCACATGTTAGACAGTGAGACTCAAGCCAGGAGAAACCGCCAACCCCCTTGGAAGAGAGGAAAGCAATTTCAGAACCATGAAAGGCTGGTGTGACCGATTCATGTGTCACACAGGATTATCATTAAAGCCTGTGCCATGGTTTAATCGGCAGCATGTTTTTCTTTCTTAGGGGGATCATGAAATAATGGTGCATCTTACGAGTGATAGCATCTTAAATGTGATAAATCCTGGTATTTAATCTAAAATCACCTGCTGTGTGCAAACATTCCTGTACCACATCCTGCTGCCGCTCACCTTCCTGACCCAAACTGGGCCCTGAGAACACTGCCATCTCCTAGAGACCAGTGGTTCTCAGACTGGGGCCCACATCCAGACTTGCTAACAAGCAGGGTGCTGGGCCCCAGCCCCAGCCTCTGATTCAGCCAGTCTGGGGTGGGGCCTGAGGATTTGTGTGTTTTTAAGATATTTGTTTGGCTGCACTGGGTCTCAGTTGTGGCATGCGGGATCTTTAGTTGTGGCACTCTTAGTTGTGGCCTGTGAACTCTTAGTCGCGGCTTGTGGAATCTGGCTCACTGATCAGGGATCGGACCTGGGTCCTCTGCACTGGGAGCGCAGACTCTGGGCCTCTGGACCTCCAGGGAAGTTCTGAGGATTTGTTCTAACAAGCTTCCAGCACGCCACGGCTACTGAACCACTCTCGGGGTGGCACTGTCCTACTGCTTCCCCCATCACTAAATCCCCTTTATTCTCTGGCACTTTCCATCTTGGCAGGGGTAAGTGAGGAGGGTCTGGGTGGTACCAGACCCCAGGTGGGAGCCACGCATTCTTTTGGACCCCTCAGAAAGCAGCGTCTCTCTGGCCCTGTTAACCGCAAAGAGAACTTGACTTGTCTGTAGGCTGGGCCTGCCAGAAAAGCTCTGGGGACTCACTCATCCTTCTCAAGACCTTCAGCAGGTCAACGCTTCTTCATATACGCAGGTCATGGCTTTAAACAGGGTCGAGGCCCTGAATAAACTCAGCAAATGGGGCTGGAATCTGCTTGTGGTTAAGATTCAGGACAAAACGGGACCAACAAGTCAGGCACAGCTGTCTGCCCTCTCACGCATGGTCTGCTGGCAACGCAGGCAGATTCCTTTCCCTTTGGTATATATGTGTGTTACTGGTTTAGTAAAACAAAACATCTGTGCACTTCTCTCCTCAAAAAGAACAATCCAGTTTTCAAGCTGCTGAAACGTCTTTGAAATGGAATATTTGCCAACACTGCCCTCTCTCCCGAAAGCAAGAAACAGGGAGATGTGTCCTCAAAAAGAATTATTTCAAACGCAGACATTACTAAGTTTTACATTTTTTTTTCCTTCAAAAGGCCCAGATCTGCTCACGTGTTCACAGAACTGAACGCAAAAGGTGGTTTAAGAAACAGGACACGAAGCCTTATCCCGGGTAGGAAAGGTTTATTGCTTATAAAAATAAGTTATGGAACAGAACAAAAAACTCGGCATGACAAGGGCTCACTCCAACTATAAAATGACTTAGAACATAGATCCAGGAGGGCTGATGGGCCAGCATGGTGAACACACACAGGAAAACAAGCTGCCTAACTTCCTCGTCCTGGGTCCTGAGGCGCTCTCTGCACCTCCACACGCCGTCTCAACGGTGTGACAGTCCCGTCAACAGAGGGGACTCTGCTGTTCACCAAGCCTGAGCGCACGACGGAAGCGAGCAGGTGGCGGAACTGCCATTCTGGCCATGAAGACACATCTGAGCCATCGCTGTGACTGAGGGCTTGCCTGGGAAGGTTCTGGGTGGGGGTCTGGGGGCCGGCGCGGGGCTGGGGTGGGATTACTGCCGGCAGGTGTCGTGGAAGGCCTCGAGGGTGCGGAAATCCCTCCAGGTGGGGGGCAGGCCATCCTGCAGAAACTTCCCGCAGCGCTGGCATGGGGCCTGGAACAGCTTTATGTAACTTCTTAGCCAGGTCTAAAAACAGAAGTGAGGAGAGAAGTGAAAGACACGGATCCGGGTGCTTCCAATGTCGTCCTTTCTGCCCAGCCTAATGATCTCTAGGATGGAGGACCTGGGCTGGCCGTGACCCCGGGAGGTGCCCCGAGATTTTACAGAAAACTCCTTGGAACATCCACAAGGTCACAGCACTGCTGAGTCTCAGTTCCGGTGCCCCGGGCCCCTCCTGACTAGGGGAGTTTTAAAATAGAAGTCCCTCCTCTGGGAGGCAGGCAGGGCTCCTGGAGAGGGGTGCCTGTGAACCTCGGCCCAGCCTCGTGGCTCAGGGGCCACGTGTAACCACATTCCATTCGAGTCCCGGGTCTTCTGAACACTGGCATCAAGCCTCTCCGTGTTCACCACCCAGAGGCGGCCCCGGACACATGCAGATAGAGGGCGAGCGGAGACTTCCCCGCTAAGGTCGAATGCCTTCTTACTAATCTGATTGCACAGGTCACCACTCACTGTCACAACGTGGCCCAACGCACCTCGGGGAGGGCGGGGACAACCCGGCGCCACCGAGTAACGCAATAAGCGGCAAGTGCACACTCGCGGGTTCGGGGGCAGAGTTCCTTCGGGCATCATACATAAGGATGAGACTCGTAACTCAATTCCCTGACTCAAGGAGACGCACAGCCACGCCAGCCCAAAGTCACGGTGACGGGCCAGCAAGGGGGGCACGTGCCACCGTGATCACTCATGTCGGTTGGAGGAGATCGCTCCTGGGAGACGTCAGCCATGCTGACTGACAAATCCTGCCTTCATCACAGCGGCCCTCCTGCTGGCTGACCGTGGCCCACCTATCCCGCCCCCTCCAAAGGCTTGGGGTCTGAGGTTCTGGCGACAGATGTGAGGAGGCCAATGGTCATTCAGTTAAACTATTTATCCTTTTTAAAGGGAAACCAGGCATTATAACACGTTAGGTAAAAACCAAGTCTTTCCATCTGCCCAAGAAGCGAGACTGCTGACTGAGAGTGTTCTCCACATATGAGAGAACCGCTGTGTGATGATGTCACGGAGCCCAGGTCTGCACGTTCAGCCTCCCCAGCGTGGGAGCCCATCAATGAGCCGGGGTGTATTTTCTAGGACATGAACTACAGGCTCCTAGAAGCTTAACTGCGGCGGCGAACATGCCGAGGTGGATTGCAGCAGCGCCACCCCACGTGGCTGTCAGCACTGATGGGGACTTGCCAATAGGCCCGTACTCTAAGGGGCGGCCCCCAGGCAGGAGTGAAGCAAGGAGCGTCAGCCCCAGTGAGAGAGGAGCCGGCGATGTGAGGGCATGACGCTGTGGTGCAGAAACAGCGGGCCGCCTCTGCCAGGGTGGGGGCCAGCTGCGGGCCTGGCTGAGGCTGACTGGCGGGCATGCGATAACCTGATGAACTGCCTCGGTGGGTGGCGGGGAGGGATGGAGGGCAGAAGGGAGTACTGACATGGAGGACTGATCTCCACAACGTAAGCGTTCTGGTTCCATGTCAATGGTTAAACAACCGGCTTGAGAAATCCTCAATGTTAACGAGAGCTGGCAGGAGCTGGCGCACACAGGGAAAGGCTGCTTCTGGTCCCTCCCCATCCTGAGCTCCGACCTAAGAGTCTAAGGAGTGGGTGTCTTGGAAGAACGATGTCACTGAGGCTGCTCCAGCACCAAGCTCCGGGCCCGGCACAGATCAGCAGCTCGATAAACACCTACTGACTGAATCAACGCCAGAAGCTGTGTCGGAAGGTCACAGCTGAAACCACGTGTTTGGCAATGATAGGAAAACCAGTTAATGGAGTGGGATGTGGTTTAGCTTAGATCCCGGCCCAGCTGAAAGGAAGTATCACTTCCACATTGGGCCGTCTCCCTGGCGAGGCTCCTGTGAGCTACCTTCTGAGCTGTCTGTTTTCACTTGAGGGGCCAAGGCTTCACTAGGCGTGACCTCCAGAGCCACTTACCATGAAGGAGCGGACCACGACGTCAGGCATCTGGGGCAGCTGGTAGTGGAGCAGGGCGGTGGTGGCATGGTCAGTCACCTGGGAACCAAGGATAAGGATTGGGTCAGAGCCACTCAGAACCAGCAGAGAAAACAAGAAGGTGCTCCTTTTATCTGACGGCTGGTGGAGGAAAAGATACCTAATACAGCCTGAAGGTGGAAAGCTAGTTAGCAAGGTTGGGGGCAGGGAAGGGGAGGGGAGGAGTGTTGAGAGCAGAAAGGACATAAATATTCTTGCCCCAGGCCAAGTGAATTGTGGAACCTTCCAGCAACCCCAGGTAGGCTGCAGCACCTGAGAAAGGTGTGGCCAGAGGCTGGTGGAGAGGTAAAACCGTGGCGGGTGCCAGGGGCTTTACCAGCCCCTCCACTGCATGAAACACTGCCTGGACGCAGAGGCTCGTTTCCAACTGTCCATGTTCAACTTCAGTCTTCACCCGGGAATGATGTTCCTGCCAGTGTAACCGGTCTGTCTCTCTGCCCCCTTTAATTCCCATTCTGTCTCATAACTTGTAGCTATATGTGTTCTCCGGCCAGGATTCTGTTCATTTCTGAGGATCTTTCCCCGGGGCCTCAGAGATACTACCGTTCTCAACAGCTGTGCTGCTCCCAGTGTGGTGCTCTGTCTGGCCAGCTCCTTGAAAGCTGTGGTCCAGTGGGCCACAACCCGCTGTCTCACAACTCCCCCAGCAGGGCCAAGAGCATCATGGCTCTAAGTTCATGCAGGACATCTGGAGACCAGATGGAACCTGTGCTGGGTTTCCGCCCCAGCTCTGCCTGCTGACCTTGATCCATCGAATCTCTCTGGGTCTCAGTGTTCCTCCTGAAAAGCAAAGTGCTGGCCGAAGATCCCCTGTAGTTCTGAAATGTGATGACACCCTGGATCGCTAATGCCTGCCATCCATCAGCAGATGAATAGATTGTTCCTAATTTGATAGCTGTGTTCAAACTCATGGTTTATTTGATTGTCTTCATTAGGGAATCCTGCCATTACAAACGATGTGGTCAAAAGACAAAAGGAAACAAAAACACCAAACAAAACGATCAACTTTGTGAACAAGAGTAATCATGGTCTGCTTGTGTCGACTCGCCTGTCTTCCCGCTGAGAAATGGAATATTTCCTGCCGGATCAGGCTGTGTGTATTTCTTCAGTCGGCATCGCTCCCACCAGGACACCATGACGTGCTGACAGACCTCAGCAGCAGTTAAGTGAACTGGTCAGGTGGAAAGCAGCAGGGCTGGTTTGGTCTGGGTTCTGCAAGGGGCGTTGCGAATGATCCAGAAATTAGTCCATCTGCGTGTCTACACTCAAGGTCAGAGAGCCCACGCCCTGAAGAGCAAGGAGGCAGGCTCCCCAGCTCACAGAACCTCTCGAAGTCGTGGCTTCCCCCTGGATGAAATGGTCATGCGTGTGAAGTGCTCACCTTCCAGCCGTGCCTTGGGCCCGCCTGCCCCTCTCTTCCGCTCTCCCTGGCCCTGGGACTGGCCCTCTCTCCCGCTGGACTTCCAGGACCTGCCTGGTGGCTAGTGAACTCTGCGAGATGACCAGCTCTGTGCAGGCAAGGATCACGCCCAGCCAGTTCATGCTGTGTCCCCGGGGCCTAGACTATCACCTGGCATCTAGTAGGTGCTCAGCACATATTTGTTGAATAAAGAAATAAACTATAAAACGGTCATTCACCAAAAGCCACGAACCAGAAACACCTGTGCTGGCTTTCCTGCAAACCAGCCATGGTTCACGTATCCAACCACGCCGAGAAATTCTTACCCAAGTGACTTTCAAGATAAATGGTACTTATTCCTTCAAGTGCAAAGACTGTTTTTATTTTAAGAATTTTTGACAGACAGCTTTCTAAAATGAGCAAGGCTTTAAAAAAAAACATACAGTAGAATGATAACTTGGCAAAATGGCGGGTGGTGGTTGGCGGGGTGAAACAGCTACAAAACGCAGCAAAGCCAACTGGGCCCCGAGGATGCCTGAGCTTAGAGCTTGGTTCTTACCCATCCAGGTGCTTGATAAAAAAAAAAAGTCCCACACAAGTACTATTTATAGGCTCATAAGACAATTCTTACAATTACATTTGCCATCACAAAAGAAATGAAGTTTCTGGAGAATTCTTTCTCCTGTTCCTACCATTTATTTTACCTGCCTCTCAGGAAGTCTCTCTATGTCGCCTCCCTTCTAAGACACCCGGGCCAGTTCTCTGGTTTGCTGACAAGAGTGTACACAAGCACTTGGAGCAGAGAAGCAGGTTGGTGCCAGATGCCCACTTAGGCATCACCCAGGAAGGTATTGGAAACGTGATCTTTTGGGCCCCAGTGCAGACCTAGAATCGAATATGTGGGTGGGGGCCCAGAGATCAAGCCGGCCTCTCCAGCTGTTCTTCGGGATCCCAAAATACAGGAGGAGGCAAATGCGAACTGGCACACAGACCCCCTGTGGATCCTGCTCTTCAGTTCAGTTCAGTCGCTCAGTCATCTCTGACTCTTTGCAACCCCATGGACTGCAGCACGCCAGGCCTCCCTGTCCATCACCAGCTCCCAGAGCTCACTCAAACTTACGTCCATCGAGTTGGTGATGCCATCCAACCATCTCATCCTCTGTCGTCCCCTTCTCCTCCCACCTTCAATCTTTCCCAGCATCAGGTCTTTTCCAATGAGTCAGCTCTTCGCATCAGGTGGCCAAAGTATTGGAGTTTCAGCTTCAGCATCAGTCCTTCCAGTGAATATTCAGGACTGATTTTCTTTAAGATTGAATGGTTGGATCTCCTTGCAATTCAAGGGACTCTCAAGAGTCTTCTCCAACACCACAGTTCAGAAGCATCAATTCTTTGGCACTCAGCTTTCTTTATAGTCCAACTCTCACATCCATGCATGACTAACTGGCTGATTATCATAGGCAGGTGTGGGGTGGGGCCAAGACTGGGCCTTTCCAGCAGCCCCCCAGGCCTGCCCCCGCTGCAGCTGAGGAGCCAGGCCGCTCAGGAGGCAGACTAGGGGAAAAAGTGCAGTAGAGGAAAAAGGCATTTCCTTCTGGGGCATGAGCGAAATAAAGGACCACAAACCCGAAGGATCGCTCGTCTTTTTCATGAATCAAAAACAAAGCACACCAGCCAAATCTCGTGAGCTGCGGTGGGAAGGGGGGCTGGGGGCCGTGGTCGTGGACTGGTGGGGTTCTCCTTACTTCCGGAAGGTGCTCTTTCAGGGCCATGGGCTGATTTTATGAATCGAGGATAGCCACATTAATGAGAGCTTGTGAGGCACGTGCCCGCTCACTTACTCCTCACGCACTGGGTCGGGTAGCCTCCTAGGCTCATTCTCTGTGTGTGTTTTAGTCCCTCAGTGCTGTCTGACTCTGCGACCCCAGGACTGTAGCCCGCCAGGCTCCCCTGTCCAGGGGACTCTCCAGGCAAGAACACTGGAGTGGGTTGCCATTCCCTTCCCCAGGGGATCTTGCTGACCCAGGGACAGAGCCTGGGTCTCCTGCTTTGCAGGCAGATTTTTTACCTCTGCTGTGCTGGGTCTTAGCTGTAGCATGTGGGATCTAGTTTCCTGACCAGGGATGAAACCTGGGCCCCTTGCATTGGAAATGCAGAGTCAAAGTCACTGAACCACCAGGGAAAGTACCCGCAGGTCCACTTTATAGACGAAGAAATGGAAACTTACAGGCCACATAGCTGGTGAGGGGCAATGGGTGTGTGGGCCCAGACCCCACGAGACCCACGCTCACACCGCCTGCCTCGGAGATGCCCTGGCCAGCTCTGCGGTCTGTGCGCAGAGGCTCCTGTCCCGAGCCCAGCGTCATCTGCCCACCACCTCCCAGCGCAGCGAAGGATGCAGAAAGCCAGAGTCCCACTGCCAGGTGCAGGTTAGGTCTGGAAATGTGGCTGCCAGGCCAACAGGCTTCTCCAGAGCAGGACAAACCACACTAACTAGAAAACGTCCTTTTCCAGAAATGGCTGGGGTCACCCACCAAAGCTCTGTTTTGGCATCTGGCTCCCAGGCAGGCCACCGATTCAGCTTTCCCATTACTGGGTCAGCAACCTGGCCAAATTCAGGCCCTTTTGCAAAAGGTCCAGTGTATTCTCTTCACTGCCAAATGGTGGCAGCTTTCTCTAGCGCTGACACGATCACTGAATTTCTTCAATTTCCCATCTCCAATTACAGAAATATTTTAGTAGAGGGAAACAAAGCTAACTGGTTTGCTATGTTTTCCATTCCTGACACCTCCCAAATTTCCTCCCCTGGTTTTCACGTTCCCAGGGCTGAACTCCAATGTGGTAGGTATGACATGGTTGTCAGATACTGGAGAAATTCACCTGCACTGATCTTCCTTTTTGTCAAAACATTCCATCTTCAGTACTTGTTTTGTTTTACACTTTTTAACAACAAATTTTTTTTTTTTTTTTTAATTTACTCAGCATCCAAGATGTGGGAGAAAAAAACAAGCCCGGGGCAACAACAACAAAGATGGCTATTAACTAATTTAAACTGACTCCGGGCCAACCCCACCGAGGCTCCGTCCCATTGTGATGTCGAGCTAATGAGATTCCGCTGGGAGATGAAAGCCACCCCGTCCAGCAGCGGAGGCCGCAGAAGGGCACTAATGCTCCCGTGGGAGAGAGGCCATTCATCCCACCAGTGAGTGCAGGTTTGAAGACAGCGCAGAAGAGATCAAAGCAGATGGTGAACCCAAGGAGAGGGAGGGAGGAGACGACATGAAAGTAACAATAAGCCAAGGAGATAGGGGATGCGGGAAAGAGGATTGGGGGGGCAGGGGTGACCGTATGGGCAGGAAGAGGACGCCACAGAAAGACAGAGGGCCTCAAGGAGGAGTATACAGACACCAGGGACTCTGCCAAGAGATGTCCCATCTATCCTCAAGGCCAAGAGAAACCGCAGATGCTCTGGCTCAATTTGGGGTGTGCACCCCACCCCCAGCCCAGGCTCGGGCTGGACTGCAGGGAGAGTGATGCCTCTATTGTTGCCAACACACCCACTCTGCTCTGTGAAACTGACTCCCAGTTTTCTCCTCCACCGATC